CCGCGCCAAGTCCGTTCTCTCCCACACAAGTTCTGGGCGAACCGGCTGACGCAGGGGGAGCAGGATGTCCAGGCCGCACCCCCGCTTGGTCTCGTTCAGTCCTAAGCAAACAAGCTCCTCCGATTTGCCACGAGGGCCGTCTGACTCTCCCGCCTCTTGACTTTCTTGTTCCTCTGTCTCAGCTTCCAGCACAAGGCGCTGGAGGCCAGCAAGAAGAGTCCCGACGACAGGAGGACCAGGCCCAGGATGGAGATGATGGAGCCGTGGGAGTTGAAGCTGTAGGCCACTGCGGTGACCACGATGCCGGTGATGAGGATCACCACGGCGAAGGGGATGATGCAACGGTAGCACGAGAGCTCGGCGCCCCCCGTGGCGGCCATCAGCTGAATCTCGCTGACCAGGGGCACCGCCGTGATCACCACCTCACTCTTGGGGCTCTTCTCCGTTGTCCCCGGCTTGGGAGGCTTTGGGGTTCCCAGGGTCTCCTTGACGGGCTCTTCAGTCATTTTTGCGGTGGTATTTCTTAGCTGAGTTCACAGACTAGGCCTGGGGGCTCTCACCAGGATGGAGGCTGTGGAGGAAAGGACAGGAGATGTCAGCCAAATGCACGAGAGTGATCCCTGCAAGGAAAAGTGAAGAGCCAGGGACACACCACTGGGTTCTTTTCCAGGAGGCACAAATGCATGCGAAAAAGCAACCATCATTTCTTTTTCTGACTGTTTGCATTCTTTCTGAGTTGGGCAGAAAGCAGATAACCATAAAGAAAGGGAAAGTATAAAAAGCAGGAAGCACTTTGCAGCGTTTAACAGAGCCCGGTGGTCTGCAAATGTTTTACTAGGCTTTCTGCTTTGTCTATTGCTTCTCTTTCCTCTAAACACACCGAAAAGCCTCAGTCCTAATCCACAGGCCTCATTCAAGGGGAGACTACGTTACAAACAATACCTCGCGCACAGTTCTTTCCACGACTCATAGCAACTTAGACGCTGCCAATGTTTCCGGGCATAACAGGCATTCTTTCCAAACTGTCACCCATTCACTGCCCATTGAGTCAACGTCAAGACCAGAGGCCAGCGTACAAGTGATGCTCTCCTACATCAGCGGGACACTCAGCAGGTCTCTGTTGTGTAACTTGTTAAATACAGTGCACGGTCGTGTGTCCTGGGACCCTGGTGTGGACTCAGGTCAGCAAAGTTTCAGCGACAATCAGGCTAAGATGTGTGGGTCGCAAATGTGGCAATAGCCTCCAAACCCATTTGAAAAAGAAAAATTAAAATTAAAATGGAAAAAGAAAAATTAAGAAAAAAAAATTCAACAATTTTGTAGAATATCATTGTATGCTTTTTTTACATTAAATAGATCAACTATTAGAGTAATTAGCTGTCCATTCACAAATTGTCCATTCAACTCAACACGGGATTTTGATAGTATGTGTACCATGACATGTTGGGGGAAAAAAAAGCATTCTAGGTTTTCAGGAAAGTTTTACAAGTTCATTTTGTCCCCATGCTCTTGGGTACAAGACCAGCTGCAATGCACCTCTGCAAATATTTTGAATCTGAACATTTCTGGACAAAGCCGGAGACTCCATCGAAAGCAGCTGGTTGAAATCAGCAGTCTCTGAGAAATCAGACTAAACTCTTGTCTGCTGCTGCAACATGTTAAGTCACTCTTTTTTGTTCTTGAGAAGCCATCCAGCAGCTAATTTATTGTGTTTAAAGGAAGATACTGGAGGCTCTTTCAATGATTAATACTTTAACATATTAAGCATCCACAGAAAACAAATTCAAGCTCAAGTCAAACCTCACAAATTCCTTCCTGCGCTGGCAGGTCAAACAAAATATCACTCCCCGTGCAATGAAGCTACATATATTAGAACTACTTACTTGCATACAATTTTTTGTCACCAAATGAATCACTGCTGTCCAATGACACCCTGGATACTGGCTGAGCCAGTAAAAGGATATTTGAGATTATGCCTGAAAGAAAGAAATCTTCACCCCAAGGCTGAGACGTAAGCTAATCTGAAAATTAAGATCTGTCCCCAAACGACTTACCGTTCCCCAGAGAGAAGCAATCCATTACCAGGGAAACCACTGGCCTTGGGGGTGGAGGGAGACACACATCAGTGCTTCAGCGTCTTCTGGTCAACGTCAGGGAAAAGAGCCCGTGACAGCATGTCTGTCAATGAAATAACAGGACAGGGATCTCCTCTGGGGGAAAAGAAAAGAAAGAAAAATCCTGAATGATATGGTTGGCTTTAGACCCTGGAGCTCTTTCTTTCACGCTACCTCTGTTCCTAAATGACGCCTGTCTTTCCCTCTCTCTCTTTTTATTTCCTCTCCCTCCGATGGCTCCTCCCTGTCATTTTTTTTCCCTTCATTCTTTTCCTTGCCAGCGGACTCTGAGTTTTGGCTCTCCCAGCTCTGCTCAGGGACATGATAAGTCCGAATCGTTCGAGAGTCCCCAGAGACAGGAGCCAGCTTTTACTTTATTTCTCTCGCAGCCTTCACTAAGTAGACTGCTTCGCATTACTCATTTTTTCCCTCCGGCCAACCACCAGATCTTCCTCCCGCCCATCAGGCATTTTCCTAAGAAAATCCCCGAGTCAGCTTTGCAGACCCAGCTGAGGGGACAGAGCAGAAGCGACAGACACTTTTAGGGTGGCAGGAACAGCTGCGATGTCATCGGGCAGCTGAATTCAGCCTCTAAGCCAGCAAAAAATCTGTGCTCCTACGTTTCCCCAATATTCTTTCTTTATTTGCATGCGCCGGCCATCTGAAGCTTAAAAGCCTCTTGGTTGATGTGAATTCATTTAGAAACGAAGTGGGAGATACACGTTTGCAGTTCAAAGGGAAAACCAGGCATCTCGATCTAAACACGACTCACTATCAACTGTGAGGAGGTAACTTGGGCAGTGCTGAGATTATTGTCATCATTGTCATTTACAAAGCGCCTGCTTGGGGGCTTGGCACATGCAGTGTGCTCCCAAGAACATCAGTGCTCACTGGTTTACAAGTGAGTTCCTGACTGAGTTTATAAATCGTTTGCAAATGAAGCTCAGAGAGGTTAAGTAATCTGACAAAGGTCGCACAGAAAGAGAGAACCCCGTGCTCCGAACCCTAGACTTGAATGAACACAACAATCACATGGAGAGCTTGTTAAATGTGGATTCGGATTCATGGGTCTGTCTCAAGGTCCTGCCCAGTGCCCATCTGCTGCTCCCCGACTCCTAAGAAGCAAGGCAGTTTAAACATTCAGATACCCGCGAATGTTTGGGAGGCTTGACATCCTCTCAAACAATAAAATTACAGGTCAACTTCCTACCCCTCTCCCTAAATGGCCTTATCAGTTTATACTTTATTGGACAAGCTGTTTAAAAATTTTAAAGCCCCAGGTTATCTTTCTGAAGGAAGAAAATGAGACAATACTGGGAGACTATTCTAAGCTGGTCCCTATCCTTTCACAGCTAAAAGTTGTCCATACTCTATTTTTCAATCTATACGAGTTTCAATAATTTCTTTTTAATTGATCCAGCAAACTTGCACATCTAGATTAAACCTCGGAAGAGATTTTCCCCCCTTTGTTCTAAATCTCAGGTTCTTAGATTTCTCTAACTGCTGGCAGAGGGCTTGGCCGGCTGCTCCCAGACACCTCACCTCTGTTCCGTGGCAGCCGCCTCCTTCCAGCCTCACCTGGCAACAATACTGTTAGACCGACGTGAGCAGAGCAAGGGCGATGGGCCAGGTGCAGAAGGTCACCGGGGCAGAAAGCCTCAGATGCCTAGCAAGGGCCCAAACTAGGAAAACAAGGACCTCACCCTCAGGGTAACGTATCCTCTGCAGACTTTTCATATGGCTAGTTATGCAGATTAGACCCCCTGAGCATTTCCTCCCTAAAGATAACATCTAGGCCTCAGTTGTATTTCAGCTCCAGGCCCAGAAAAGCAGCAACACCAGAGAAGTGGCCACTGCGGCTCCCTCAGGACCAGCTACATTGACAAATGACCCCCTGTCCTGCCACCCACCAATCAGCGGAGATGAGATCCGAAAGAGCACACCTGGAAAGTTGATGAATATCTATTAAGACCCTCCCCTGACACCTCCCCTAAGGTTTCCACCTGCAAGACAGAGATAACTAGGCTCAGGACAAAGGACCCAGCTGGGCTTTCCCCAGGGGAGCACACGGGTGCCATTCCTTTTCCCCTTCCTTCGAAGGGACCCCACAAGACTTGCAACCAGGGGAGCAATGGGCAGCAGCCCATCCCAGGCTAACCCCCTGAACCTGTCTCCAAGGCCCCCTTCTCTCTGCGTTCCTAGTGAGCCCAAGCAGCCCCGCCTGGGCTCTCCTGTTACTACTTCTATGCTCTTCCTTGTTTCACTGTCCTAAGTACATTTTTGCTGCCTTCATGGGCCCAGTCAATACCCTTTGGCTCAGTGCTGTGCAGCCCTTCCCTTTGGATGTCCCTCTCCCCATCCTCTTTTTTAAAAAATAAATTCAATTTTTCTTTACGCACCATCTGAGACGGCTATTTAGCCTGCCTGCACACCACCGACCCTAACCTTTCAAATACCTTGATGATTTTGTCATAAAGGGAGAGGGGGAGAAGTCCTTTATTTCTAGAATGGAAGCCAGAGAGGGCTTGGGCTTCTTCCTTTTGAAACA